GTATGATTGGTAGACATTGTTATCCTTGAACTGTAAGATTGGCAGACATTGTTATCCTTGAACTGGCTGTAAGATCGGTAGACATTGTTATCCTTGAACTGGCTATAAGAGTAATAGAAATTGTTATTCTTGAACTGACTGTAAAAGTAGTAGACATTGTTATTCTTAACTGTTTGATTGGTTGACATTATTATCCTTGAACTACGGTAAGATTGGTAAACATTGTTATCTTTGATGTGAATGTAAGAGTAGTAGACATTGATATTCCTGAACTGTAAGATTGGTAGACATTATTATCCTTGAACTACGGTAAGATTGGTAAACATTGTTATCTTTGATGTGACTGTAAGAGTAGTAGACATTGTTATTCTTAACTGTTTGATTGGTAGACATTATTATCCTTGAACTACGGTAAGATTGGTAAACATTGTTATCTTTGATGTGACTGTAAGAGTAGTAGACATTGATATTCCTGAACTGTAAGATTGGTAGACATTATTATCCTTGAACTACGGTAAGATTGGTAAACATTGTTATCTTTGATGTGACTGTAAGAGTAGTAGACATTGATATTCCTGAACTGTAAGATTGGTAGACATTGTTATCTGTAAGCTATATTGTGAGGTATATAATGTCTTACTAACTTCGTTATCTTCAGATTTACAGTGTGATTATGAATGAAGTTATCCTTACCTTGTTAATAAAAAAGAATGTATTGTTATTTCGATTGATATCCCCAACTTCTAAGTAATATTTTATTTTAGTAACCACGAAGTATTTTTGATCACTAATCTAAAGGATAAAGATAGTTAAGGTTTACATTTATGTAAGGTTACAGATGTTATGAAGTTCATAAATATTTTACACTTGATCATGTAACTAGAGGAGTGTCTTTATTGTAAAACTTTGCCTAACACTGAAATAGTGTCTTTATTGTAAAACTGTCCCTAACACTGAATGGGCGTCTTTATTGTAAAACTTTGCCTAAAACTGAATGGGCGTCTTTATTGTAAAACTTTGCCTAACACTGAAAGAACGTCTTTATTGTAAAACTTTTCCTAACACTGGATGGGCGTCTTTATGGTAAAACTTTACTTGACACTGAAAGAACGTCTTTATTGTAAAACTTTGCCTGACATTGAAAGAACGTCTTTATTGTAAAACTTTGCCTAACACTGAATAAACGTCTTTATTGTAAAACTTTGCCTAACACTGAATGGGCGTCTTTATGGTAAAACTTTAGCTGACACTGAAAGAACGTCTTTATTGTAAAACTTTGCCTGACACTGAAAGAACGTCTTTATTGTAAAACTTTGCCTAACACTGAATGGGCGTCTTTATTGTAAAACTTTGCCTAACACTGAACGGGCGTCTTTATTGTAAAACTTTGCCTAACACTGGATGGGCCTTTTTATTGTAAAACTTTTCCTAACACTGGATGGGCGTCTTTATTGTAAAACTTTGCCTGACACTGGATGGGCATCTTTATTGTAAAACTTTGCCTGATACTGGATGGGCGTTTTTATTGTAAAACTTTACCTAAACTTTCCTCATGTAACATACTCTGCTAAGTAAAATATGATCATGATGCTGATATTGTTGTTTCAAGGCCCCGCATGGCCGGGTGGTGAGGGCAATCTGAGGGTCGCGGGATCGAATCCCTGTCACACCAAACATGCTCGCCCTTTCAGCCGTTTCAGTCAATCACACTATTCGTTGGTAAAAGAGTAGACCAAGAGTTGGCGGTAGGTGGTGATGACTAGCTGCCTTCCCTCTAGTCTTTCACTATTAAATTAGGGACAGCTACCGCAGATAGCCCTCGTGTAGCTTTGCGCGAAATTCAAAACAAACAAACAAACTTGTTTCAAACAAATACGTTTTCTCAGTAGATTATCTGTCGTCTATAGACTATTAATAACTCAAAACATGGAGTGGATAATTTCCATTATCTTCTGATTTAGGAATATAAGCACCAACTGACCGATTTATCCAAACCAAAACAGTTTTTCTTGTACGATTTTTGAACGCTAATTAATGTTACAAGCTTGGTATAAGTGACTCTACATGTTCAGACATGTGATTGATTTTATTTATGAGGGTCTTGAAATAATTATTTATATCTAATCATTTCTAGAAGGGTGTAATAGTGAGTAATAATTTTATGACAACGAAAACTTTAATATTTCTTTTCAAGCACATTGTACTTATATGTTAAAAACAAAATCATACTCTGATGACGATAACTAGGACTAGTTTCTACAGTGTTAGCTAAGCCTATATTAACGGGTGTAGCTACGTTAACACTGATGATAGCAACTGTGTTACCGAACCTAATCGGCTGTAACTAATAATAAAGATTTTACCTTGTATTGTGTCAAAAAACGTCGTATTTTGCGTTTTTTTATTCTTAATTGAAATAAAAAACCTATGTTTTACTATAGCATAATTTTCATCATCTTTAACGTCTCTAGTCATTCTTTGAATAAATTTAGTGTCATGAGTGGCCTCCAGGTGTTTCTCCCACTCTGTCGCCCATGTGTTTTACTTTGTTAGTCGTATTTTTGTGTAGTTGAGCTAAATATCTCAAGCGGAGATAATCGACCATAGATTAAGTACACCTCCATGGATCAAGTTGTTTTATAACGTCCCCGTTGTCTTCTCCCACCTCTTTCCCCTGCCTATTCATCCATCTGACATGACTAACACTGTAACGTGTGTATGTGTGGGGTGGAATACAAGCTTCGGCCTCTTAACGCGCGCGTGATTCTAAGCTGTCCAGCGGCAGGTAACCTAGCAACGGTTTCTGCGGCGTCTGGCACGTGCCCGCTGTCTCAAGTCATTATCACCGTTACTTTCTATTGAACCACATCATCCCAGCTGTTGGCCCGCGGCCGCCTACCAGACACCGCAACCATCAGCCCAAAACTCAGGAGACTGTGTCCAACCCACCAATTCTTTGTGTAATGGCTTCACACAGTTAACGGCCTTTTAGTTGGCCAAGAAGATTAAAAAATGGCCTCAAAAGCTTTTTGTAATTCGTAATTCTTAATTTGAAAAACAAAAACAAATAAACAAAATAACAAAATACTTATAACACTAAAATTCAGATTTCGATACTCGTAGTGGGCACAGCACAGATAGCCCAATATGTAGTTTTGTACTTAAAAACAAAGAAACAAAATGTTATTTCTGTCGGGTTTAATTTTTGTTTTATTAGAGAAAATCGTACATAACTCCTTTCTGGACAATTTCTGGACGAATTAAGTACCGTGAAATATCGTTTTTAATGTGTTTTTATATAATCAAAACCATCACATTTATTCTTTTCACTTTATATAAAAGCTCGAGGAGAAATATCAAAAAATAAATCAAGTAAAACATCCTAAATATCTATTTTATTTGGGCTGAATTCCTTGAAGAACTACCCGTGACTATTTTTATATTATTTGGGCTGAATTCCTTGAAGAACTACCCGTGACTATTTTTATTTTATTTGGGCTGAATTCCTTGAAGAACTACCCGTGACTATCTTTATATTATTTGGGCTGAATTCCTTGAAAAACTACCAGTGACTATTTTTATATTCTTTGGGCTGAATTCCTTGAAGAACTACCACTGACTATTTTTATATTCTTTGGGCTGAATTTCTTGAAGAACTACCCGTGACTATTTTTATATTATTTGGGCTGAATTCCGTGAAGAACTACCCGTGACTATTTTTATTTTATTTGGGCTGAATTCCTTGAAGAACTACCCGTGACTATTTTTATATTATTTGGGCTGAATTCCTTGAAGAACTACCCGTGACTATTTTTATATTATTTGGACTGAATTCCTTGAAAAACTACCAGTGACTATTTTTATATTATTTAGGCTGAATTCCTTGAAGAACTATCCGTGACTATTTTTATTTTATTTGGGCTGAATGCCTTGAAGAACTACCCGTGACTATTTTTAATTTCTTTGAGCTGAATTCCTTGAAGAACTACCCGTGACTATTTTTATATTATTTGGGCTGAATTCCTTGAAAAACTACCAGTGAATATTTTAATATTATTTGGGCTGAATTCCTTGAAGAACTACCAGTGACTATTTTTATATTATTTGGGCTGAATTCATTGAACAACAACCAGTGACTATTTTTATTTCATTTGGGCTGAATTCATTGAACAACAACCAGTGACTATTTTTATTTCATTTGGGCTGAATTCATTGAACAACTACCAGTGACTATTTTTATTTCATTTCAGCTGAATTCATTGAACAACTACCAGTGACTATTTTTATTTCATTTGGGCTGAATTCCTTGAACAACTACCAGTGACTATTTTTATTTTATTTGGGCTGAATTCCTTGAAGAACTATCCGAGACTATTTTTATTTTATTTGGGCTGAATTCCTTGAACAACTACCAGTGACTATCTTTATTTTATTTGGACTGAATACCTTGAAGAACTACCAGTGACTATTTTTATTTTATTTTGGCTGAATTCCTTGAAGAACCACCCGTGAGTACTTTTATTATTCTTTGCTCGGAAAAGTTGACTACTTCAATTCCATAAGCTCCTGGTGGATGAGCGGTAAGTTTACGGACTTACAACGCTAAAATTCGGGGCTTAATTCCAGCCGATGGACATAGCGCAGAAAGACCATTGTGTGGCTTTGCTCTGAAACGAACAAATAATCAGTACGATAAACCAGGGATATTTTATGCCATGTTTATGTGAGAATAAGTTCAATTATTTTAAATCATTACACGGTGTGTAATCACGAGGTTATCTTGTCGCGATGATTTAACTTCTGACATCAGTTTCGTTTTTAAACTCCGAAAGTAATGTTTGTCTCACGATATATCTGCACGTGCTTAGAGATCTTAGCTCGACGATACCCTCGTCGTATCTACTTCACCTTCAGCTATCTAATCTAATCTTTTGTTGTTGACTGGATCATTGGAGAGCCGCCTGTCCATAAAGTCAAAATATTTATCTTCAAGTAAAGGTATATACTAGTAGTAAAAGAGTGACAGCAGCACGATGACATGAAACAGTTTCGACTTTTATGGAACCATGATGTTAGGCTTAAGGTACAGTCAACTTATTTAGACGACTCGTTATTCTGAGTAAACATTTTCTGGTGCGAGATTACAAATGGTCGGGAACTCGGTTTATGAAAATCAGGAAATACGAACTGTCCCATGTAGGGTGTAATTATACTAGTATTAACTACATTTAAACCCAAGCTAAAACTACGCTTTAACTGAATGGATCGTTGAACAAGTCAGGTAAGTTTATTTTTAGTTGTTTGTTGGTTCCTCTTACAGCTGACAAACAACTTTGTCAACTGGTCTTTTAGATTTACATAAGTACGTGGGACTTACATCGGATGATCAGGTCATCCTTGTTTGACCACGCAGTCCAAAGCTAGAAGTCGTTTTTATTTCAAAGTCAAAATATTAAAACAAGAAATTAACATCAAAATTATGTTGATACAATGTAGATTTTTAATTATATATATATTTCTTAATAATGATTTTCTTTTTGTCAGACCGATTGGTTTGTTTTCAAGGAGAACAACAAGAGATGGTTTCATGCTACATGATTATACATATTTATTTTCGGGGGGGAGGGAGGGGGAGAATGGAATTTCTATTTGTTTAATCGCCGATAAGAAAGACATTTATATTCAGTTATATAAATGTACTGTGTCATTTTTAACGTACTCTCCTGTAACTTTGAGCTAGACAACGGACAGGAAACGTACATAAGAAGTTCTGTGTTTAACCCAACATGGCCAGATGATGATTATCTTCATTGTACTCCTCCCCAAACACACCTTTAGATGTTCTGTGTTTAACCCAACATGGCCAGATTATGATAATCTTTATCGTAATCCTCCCCAACACACACCTTTAAATGTTCTGTGTTTAACCCAACATGGCCAGATGATGATAATCTTCATCGTAATCCTCCCCACACACACCTTTAAATGTTCTGTGTTTAACCCAACATGGCAAGATGATGATAATCTTTATCGTAATCCTCCCCACACACACCTTTAAATGTTCTGTGTCAGAAACGTATATAATCAAACGTGGTCGGATGACGAAATGTACATCTTCATCGTAATAGATGCAACCCCACACTAGGATGTTTATCATAGAGATGTAAGGCACCATAGAATGAAACCTATGCTGGTGTGTGTTTTTATAGATATGTAAGTCACCAGGGGTTGAAACTCCACTCCAGTGCTTCTTCAGGGGATGCAACCCTTCTTAAGTATGCTTCTCATACATATATTTACTGATTGTACTCGATTTGGCACTCTCTAATGACATACGTTAATACCATTAGGTTCCAATACCACCTACAAATAAATAAAATCCGCCATACAAAAAAACGTGTTTATAGGTTTAGAGTGTCACATTACAATATAAAAAATAGGCAGAGTTTTGGAAAACGCTTATTTTGGTAGCTTAATGACCCCAAAAACAAAAACTAAGCTTTGATTATGACGTTATTTACTAAAGCTGACAAAATACACTTATGTTTCTTGTAGCAAGTAAACAATAGGTCCTGTCTATCTTGCAGCTGTTAAAAGTAGGTTCCCTCTTTGTTGCAGCTGTTAACAGTAAATCCTGTATTTGTTGCTGCTGTTAACAGTAGATCCTGTCTTTCTTGCAGTGTTAGCAGTAGATCCTGTCTTTGTTGTAGCTGTTAACAGTAGATCACGTCTTTATTGCAGCTGTTAACAGTAGATCATGTCTTTATTGTAGCTGTTAATCGTAGATCCTGTCTGTGTTGCAGCAGTTAACAATAGATCCTGTCTTAGTTGCAGCCCTTAGCAATAGATCCTGTCTTTGATGGAGATTTCAACAGTAGATTCTGTCTTTCTTCCAGTGTTAGCAGTAGATCCTCTCTTTATTTCAGCTGTTAATAGTAGTTCATATCTTTGTTGCAGCTGTTAATAATAGATACTGTCTTTGTTGCAGCTGTTAATAGTAGATTCTGTCCTTTTTGCAGCTGTTAACAGTAGATCCTGTCTTTCTTGAAGTTTTAGCGTAGATCTTGTCTTTGTTGCAGCTGTTAACAGTAGATCCGGTCTTTTGTTGCAGCTGATAACAATAGGTATTGTCTTTGGTACAGCTATTAACAGCAGATCCTGTCTTTGTTGCAGTTGTTAATATTAGGTTCTGTCTTTCTTGCAGTGTTAACAGTAGATCTGGTCTTTTGTTTGCAGCTGATAACAGTATATATTGTCTTCGGTGCAGCTGTTAACAGTAGATCATGTCTTTATTGCAGCTGTTGACAGTAAATTCTGCCTTTCAAACAGTGTTAGCAGTAGATCCAATATATGTTGTAGCTGTTAATAGTAGTTTCTGTCTTTTGTTGCAACTGTTAACAGTAAGTCTTGTCATCGTTGCAGCTGTTAACAGTAAGTCTTGTCTTCGTTGCAGCTGTTAACAGTAGATATTGCCTTTGTTGCAGCTGTTAACAGTAGATCATGTCTTTTTTTTTTGCAGCGGTTAACAGTAAATTCCGTCTTTGTTGCAGTCCTTAGCAGTAGATCCTGTATTTGATGCAGCTGTCAACAGTAAGTCTTGTCTGTGTTGCAGCTGTTAACAGTAGATATTGCCTTTGTTGCAGCTGTTAACAGTAGTTCCTGTCTTTGTTGCAGAGGTTAACGGTAGATCCTGTCTTTTTTACAGCTCTTAATAAAGCTCATTGTTGTTGCAGCTGTTAACAGTGGATCTCGTATTTATTGCAGGTGTTTACAATTGATTACGTATTCGTTGCAATTGTTAACAGAAGCACATGTACTGGAGAACCTAACAGTTATACTTAATTTCTATCCAGCTCGTTATTTGTTCATTGATATAGTTGTAATGTAACAAGTCTTGTGTGTTGCCGTTGTAAAATAGTTAAACTTCGTTCTTATGCAACTAAGGTATCAGAGTTCGTTTGTATTTGTGATAACACAGTTATACCCTGTATCTAGATAACTGACGTTCCGAACTTTTTGTGTAAGTGTAGTGACATACCTACATGTAAGGTCACCACCATTTATTCATTTCTGCACAATTAAAATCCTGGCTTTCTGTGTTAGTTGGGTAACAGCTAAGCTTGGCTCATATCTTTAGTGCTTTAACTCTAGTTTTTAGTGCTTTGAACGGTTTTATTTTAACAAGAGGCTTTCTTTTGTTCATTGCATGCATTCATGTACATGAATCAAACCGTTAAAAAGAAAGAAAGAGATCGATTTATAAAATATGTTTTAGTTGCTTCCAGTCAGAGGATAAGCCCTTTGACAATATCACTCATTCTGAACTGGGTTCAAAAAAACCTTGTTCGATGGTTTTGTGTTGCGAGCTAGTGGATTTGATTTTGCACTAAGATGACCTCTGAAGCCACGGTCACGATAAATATCTATTCCTGAAGTAATGTGATAGTTTCATCAGGTCAAAGGTCGGGTTCAAAATGAGTATATTTTTATTCGTGACTCAACCAACAAATGACGTCATCGGGTAATGTTTTCTTTGGAGTTTCTTAGGTGAAGACAAATCTAAGTACAGAGTTTTACAGTTTAAAACGTGGCTGTTCTACTAGAGTAACCACAGACTCCGAGAGTTTACTCTTGTTCTTGTACTACATGGTAAATGTTCAGGTCATTCTTGGAAAGTTACGTGGCTGTTCTACTAGAGTAACCACAGACTCCGAGAGTTTACTCTTGTTCTTGTACTACATGGTAAATGTTCTGGTCATTCTTGGAAAGTTCTATTTTAAACTTTATTCGGCAGTTTCTGAGCAAATGGATTGTTTACGTTTTATTCAATACGTGATTAGCACAGCGGCGGAAACCTGCTACTAAATACAATCAAGGGAGCAGAAAAAACAAAAAAACAGGGAGTGCCCCTCCCGGAAATCGCTCACTTAGGTAATATTTACTTTGTCCGGCCGGAAAGCATCGTTTATCTTCACCTTTAAGTCCTCCCGGGTAAAAATAACAGTTCGTGAATCCCCACCCTAGTTATCTTATAGTATAGCTTGGTCTTATTAACGTCAGTTAAGATTGACAGTTACAGTCTGTAGACTTCGAGCAGGAACTTCTGCTTGAGTAGATGAGATTCTCACACAGGGAACAAGACACACGAAGATTTCCTTTCGACTGGAACGCCACTTCAGGCAATATATCGTACTAGAGGTTCTGTATTGTAGGTTGTTTTATAAGGAATTTTGTTCTTTAATTTTACAAAAGAAAATCAAAGTGAAGGATCGAATAGAGTTAGCAAACTAATATAAATATTAACATTTTAAACTATTTTCATAATGTTTAATTTTTAAAATCATAAGACAAACGAAAAATGCTTGCTTCAGATATCCTTACTTTGTTCGTTTATATTAGGGGATGGTCGTGGTCTGATGGTTAGCGTTCTCAGACTATGAACCCTGCCCCGTTACCAAATAAACGCACTTTGCATTTTGGTCATAGGTTCGTTATCAGAGTGGCAGTCAACTTCCACTATTCTATCAGGTAAGAGTAACTTAAAGAGTTGGCGGTGGATGCTGTGGACTATCTGGTTCTAGTTCAAACTTAGGAACAGCTATATCCAAATGACCATTTTGAAATCGGTTAAAGTTGTGATACTTTAATCCATAAACATCAGTAAAAGTCGAAAACAAGGAACACTGGTCATAGCTGTACCAAGTGTTTGCTCGTGGCACGTGTTTCTGATTGGTTAAAACCTCTGTTTTAAACCTAGTTTTAAAAGAATAAGGTCAATGTTGCTGTTTTTCTCATTGTCAGTATTATTATCAAATTAAAAATTAGTTTTTTGTGGCTGTAATTTGTCAGAGAATTGATTATCCGTCAATAGCAATTATTTCTTACTATAATTGTTAATTATACTTCTACTGTGGCTACCAAAAATACTTTGAAACTGATACCAGACTCTGCAGAATCGTTCGTGGCCCATTGGTTGGTGTACCGGTCTGTGGAGCTGAGGTTCTGTGGTATACATTCCAGTAAGCCAAAATATATATAATCACTCTGTAAAATCCCACGTAGTCCGAGAGTTGGCGGTGAGTGGTGTTGACAAGCTGCCTTCCATCTAGACTACCACTTCAAAATTAGGGACGGCTAGAGCAAATAGCCCTCGTGTAGCTTTGTACGAAATGAAACAAATAAACAAACAAGACGGGTGTGTAAATGAAGGTGTATTGTATGTAGTTCCACAACGTAAAGTCAAACCACACCTGAATCATGTCTCTTCAGCCGACAGTTTCC